AAAGTTGCAGAGACTTCAAGAAAAAGGATGCCAGGTTAAACTGTTCAAGTGGAGAAACTTGGGATGGAGGCTCCTCCTTTCTGTCACAGGCAAAAAGAACTAGTTCCAGAATCAATCAAGCGAATACATAGCTGGACAAAACATTTTGCCTACGCAAAAGCCGTCTTTGCAGGCTCCCAGTTTCTCCTTGTTGCCCATTTCAATTACATAAGTTAAGGAGAAAATCAACATTTAAAAAGGTGTACTTTAAAGATACAATCTAGTTTATGCATTGTATCATCAACACATCAGAACAGATTGCCTCTGTTACAAGCAATTTTGTACAAAAAGTCATAATGATATTTCCAAAAGTCATGAATAATTATATATTCACCGGCAAAGAGCGTGCATTTCTAGGTAGATTGCACAGGTACATGTCTGTATCATGAGAAGATCCCATATAATCCATGTTTGTTTCATGAAGAAAAAATACATTATAAGTAGCTTTCAATTGCCTTCTACTTATTTCCAACAATGATTTTGCTCAAAATTGTGTGGGCTTTTTTGTGATTTCTCCATTTTAAAGCCAGCTAGCACATTACAAATACAAATCAGCACAACTTAGTGATATTATAAGTTTTCTAAAGTCTCTGATGATTACTGTACCAATTACTTACAACTACCTATATATGCTCAAAATAGCATTCACATGGAAAGCCAGATGTTTCTATTTGCTGCTTTAGCAACTGAAAAGAAAGGGAAGAAAACTAAGGCTGGGAATCCAACTCTTTCTATAACTGTAAAAAGCATTGTTTCTGAAAGTAGGGTATTTTTATTTATAACAACAGACAATTGGTATAGAACACAAAAGTATTTCTCAAAAGGAGTGTGTGTAATGACAATACTTAAAGGATTCCAAGGCTACTTCTTCATTTATCTAAGTATTAAATCACCAGCTGCACAATGCTTTTTCTGCAGCATAAACACGCATTACTTTATAAGATGACCACATTGAAGTCACTCACCTAAAATTCAAAAAACCTTTCCACCCATTAAGAAAATAATCTTTGGCTGGTAAACAGTACACGAACGTTACAGTTTCATAGAAATCTTCACCGAAAACTTGGAAAATGTCTAAAACAGGAACTTGTTAACTAGCTTATCACTTGTGCCATGTGATAACCTAATCACCTAACAAGATTTAAAAGGGATTTATGGATCTTCCAGCTGATGTATGGGTGATGTGCACTTATTCATACATGAGGGGCTAGGATATTTTCTAAAGCTTTGAAAGCCAAACAAATTTTTCTTTAATGGCTTGTACACTCTTGAGAGGTATAAAAAAACCTTTCAGAATGCATTGACATTCTATACTTTTTGCAATTACTAATACATAGTACACAGATAAAGCCATATATTATATACTATTCAATGCTGTATAAGGAACGATGAAAGTTATCACACAATGTTCTACTTCATAATATATAGCAAAAAGAGACAGGAAAAAAAAAGTGGAAAATTGCTGCTTTGTTTCACTGTCTATGATGTATTAAGAGGTATTTTCATACCAGTATAGTTACAGTCAAACACATGGAGATTAACATTTTTTAAGCAGGTGCCTAAGATCAGATGTCTACTCCACATTTGTTTACTTAGCTCCTCCTGATATATAAAAGGTATGGAAGAGTTTTCTATTTTATTTTGCTTATTCACAAGGAAGATCCACTTAACACCTGAAGAACTAGAGAGATCATGAAAAGATTAGCACTCAGGACGAGAAACCTAAATTACTGGGAGAGATTTTTAAACAGTTGTTGAAAAATCTTTAATTATTTTCCTTTATCTTTAGTACCTATTCAGTTCACACCTGTGGAAAACAATTTGGAGGAAAGTGCTCTATTCTAAAAAAGGCACCATTCTGTTTCTTCATTTCAGAGTGTGAGACTAAAACAGGATCTCCATACTCAGAATGAATACAATCTCATACCAAAAGTAGCTTTACTGAACAGAAGGGTAGCTTGCATTGTACAAATTTGTTCAGTGGCGAGTAAACTGTTAAAATATGACCTAGAAAAGCATATTACTTTTTTTCCTCTGAAATGGTACTTCAGCAAAACGAGGAATTAAATGGTTGCCATTACTGATATTTCTAAGACGAAATAAACAAGAAATAAAATGAAAGACCAAACAACTCCAGCTCACAAGCTTTCATTAGAGAGCAGGGGAAAAAAAATCCTACTGTTTTTTTAATACATCGCCTTACAGAAAGGCCACAATAGATGCAATTTTTAAAATTATTTAACAAATAAACTATCTTAATTCTTCATAGTATGTGTAAGACTGGCTAAGTAACATTTATCTTAACAGAGGAAATAAATCACCATTAACTGTACCAGACAGCTAAACTGTTGTTTCATTTTTTTGTACTAGGGATATTAGCTAATTACTTTCAGGCAGTAGAATGACTTACGAGTATGATTAAAGTAAAGTTAGGCATTATTCTCATAGTGCAATCGAACAGTATTTTAAGAATGACATTGAAGAACAAGGTCATAAAAGACGGTTACAAGGTTACAAAGCTTCAAAGTCAGAACTGCTGGAGATACGAACGAAGTTCAGTGTATTACAGCATCCATCAAAACAGAAGGACTATTTGCAAATGGGTAAATAAATTTAAAGGAAAAGGCTTTATGTTCTAGATCAGTAGTGTCTTCTCTATAATTAGTGACTGAAAATTCTAAGCCTTAAATTATCAGTTCAGACCATCATCCAAAATCTAGGAACAGCTTCATGATGCTAGGCACTTCACTCAGATGTACAGTACAACACTGATTTGTCCTGGAGGAACATATTTTCTGCTTTAGTGTACAAAATTGCCCTTACAGAACTGTGTCCACAATATGGTACAATTGATTAATTTAATAAATCTGTCTTGGAGCCATGTGTATCTGAGGGTGAAAAACCCCCTAAGCTATATAAATATCTTCTCACAAGATTTTTTTAAAGTGATAACACTTCTTTAAAGTGATTTGGTAGTCACTCAAAAAGCACGCTATGAGATAAACCTTCTGCTCATTTTAAGTCACAATGTAACTGTGATCAGTAAGCAAAAATTAATTTAACAGCACGATTTTTATTTTACTACAGGGTGAAGCTTAATGCAACAAATTTTGTAAAGGTGTTTTTAGGTCTTCCTGTGTATGACACTACTACAAATAATAGTAATATCTAGATCTTATATAATGTTTTTAGTAGTAGCTCCAAAATTACTCTAATAAGGTTAGTTTATAGAAATGCAAAATAGTGGGAGTTATTACTGATTCAAGTGCCTCATAGCTACGATAAAGAAAAAAACCCACAAAACTTCTTTTTCTTCCTTCCCCTATTTCAGATTCCAGTACAAATAAAACTGCCTTTAGCAGAAATCCCTTATAACACACTACAACCGTGTAGTATATTATTCATTGTGGGTTTTGCTCTAATAAAAGCACCCACGTAACTGTAAATAGTGCTTCTAAAAAACACTGAACAACAATACAAGAAAAATCATTGTAACAACTTGATGACCGTCAAGAAAGTGAGGAGGAACTGCCTCGTCCATTACTGCTGTGAGGTTCTACCCTAATACCAGCTGAAGTGGTTAGACATTTCTAAATACACTCTTGCATTTTGGGTTGTTTTTTTTTTTCTTCTGCAAAACCACACATATTTACAAATAAGAAAAACTGCCCTTGGACAAAATTTCTTTTTCTCATCGTAACAATTGCATGCATCTATAACTTGCAAAGCATAGTAAGGTTTATGGCTTTGGGTTCACTGATCAAAATGCCATCTTCACAAACAAAACAACATTCCCATTTCACGTAAGTTCTACTTAAAAACCTGCCTTAGCTTTCACAGAAACTGTATTTTGATATTTAAAAGAGTCCAGTCTCATCTTAAAATTATTTCATATTTAAAAATACATCGGCTTCCGTATTTTCTTTCACTGAGAACTAAAAACACTCATAATACAAACCTTTTAAATTGCCAGGAAAAAAACCCAAACCCTTCAAACTACAAATTACTGTATTAAGTAACAATGTCAAAAGATGTGTGTACTTCAAGCACGATGCAAAAAGATTACACTAGCAGGTCCTCTCTCTACTGAATTTCAACAGAGTAACTTAAAAGACTTGGGGAGTTTAACATAAGGCAGTTAGACCAGTTTATAACGTTGCTTCTGTTTCTTAGTGTATTTCAGACACACTTACTGATTATACACATCTTTAAGCTCTAGACACCTTGGGAGAAATACGCTTTTTTCATAGTTAAGCTACCTGAATACATCCTTCTTGTGTAAACCTCATGACATTATTATAAATGTCATTTAGTTTGGGATGACCACAGCCACAGCTGAAGTGCTGCACAGTCTAATCGACACAGCAAAAACCAGTTGGTCATCCATCCCTTTCTTCCTACACATGCACACAGGCATGTACACTTGCAAACTGTCATCAAGCCTGCTAATTTTTTCAGTAATTAATTTGTGGGAGAAGGAAGGCTGGCAATGGTTTATTGTGCAGCACCATGAACACCTGCAATACAACCAGTAGCATCACTTAAGAGTAATCTGGAAGAAATTGTATGCTTCTAGGAACAAAAACTGAATACAGAAGGAGTCACATCTTTGACTGCATCTCAATAAACAATTCGTTAAATCCCTGACTACACACTGTTGCTCAAGGCACAAGGTATCTGTGCTAGCCTCTCTAAAATGATTGCTTCAAGAGTTTATTTCATGAGAATCAACAGGTCAAGTTGATTCTACTGTTTCTGTGTAAGAGAAATTATTTTACTACATATAGCGCCCAGAGAGTTAATTAACCAAATCTTCTTACCACCTGTCTCTTAGAATGAAATGACCACGTAAGGTCTTTAGCAAAGGACAAATCCCAGGGAATTAAGCCTTGGACTCATAATGCATTAGAAATAGAACAGCTTCCCTTCCCACTGCCCACGTTCAATGAATTTGTACTCACCCTCTGAGTGATGCTTTTTCCTTCTTTGACTTGCACTGCCAATCCAAGATCAGACAGTCTGCAATTACCATTATCATCCAGGAGGACATTTTCTGGTTTCATGTCCCGGTACACGATCTTGATGGAATGGAGATGCAGAATCCCACAGGTGATCTGAGCTGAGTAATAGATGATCCTGTTCATCTCCAAACCCCTTTCTCCCACATTGTAGATGTGATACTTCAGATCGCCTCCATTCATGAGGCTCATGACAAGACACAGATGGCTTTTGCTCTCATAGGCGTAAGCTAGTGTGACTATGAAAGGGCTGTTGACCTTCTCCAGGATCTCTTTCTCCAGTAGCGCCATCTTTTCTCCACCTTTCTTTTTCAACCTTTTCTTATCCAGTTTCTTGCAGGCATACATCTTGCCAGTATTTTTCACCTGGATAGCACAAACCTAGAGAAGCAAGATGCACAAGGAAAAGTAACAAAGTGATTTTACATACGCAGACTCGGATATCAGAGGCAGTAACAGGCAGGAACCGAGGAATCACAGATGCCTATTAGTAGCTGCTGATGCTAACTTCTGCGGCAGAGTGTATTAGCAGAGAAAATAAGGAAGAAAAAAGCATACAATCTGTTCTGGACTAGTCTATGGTGGACCTTATGCAAAGTTCTTGAGGACACCATCAGTAGACATGTATTAGCAAATAAAATGAACACGGACCCATTCTCTGACCATGAGACTAAGTGGCATATACAGCTTGAATCTGTATAGCTGAACTCTCCTCCATCTCAAAAAAAGGTAACTCATTCATACCGTGTTTTGGGAACAGATCCTGACCTCTGCTGTTCCCCAAACTGCATCTAGGATTTATCTGGGAGTGTGTAAGCAAGCACAGGCTAATGCAGTGCCAAGGAGCAGACTAATAAACACCTATATGGACTGTCATGCAAGCTTTTGCAAAGAAGCCTGCTTTTTTACTAGCACAGATACAGAATATCAGAATTTTAGAGTAGCTCTTCACTAACAGGCATCTGGAGCCTTTATCACAGTATAGATAACAAACCCAACAAACAAAGCCTAACTTCTGGGAAATGGGCAATCTAAACAAGCAAGTTTTGCAAAACCTTAGACAATTTCCCTAATCCATTGCCAAATTCCTCTTTGCAAACTCACCTGTTGGTCTTGAAAGGGGAGGGACGAACCACATCCTTAAAAGTACAACTCTTACCTCTCCAAAGCCACCTTTGCCCAGCACTCGGAACTCATAGAAGTATTTATCAGTTACCGGCTGCTTCTCAAAAACTTTCCATTGGAGGAATTTGTCATAGAAAGGGCTGGTCTGGAAGTCCTGGAAGGGCTTGTCTTTAAGGAAGAGTTTGGTTTCCTCCTTGGCCAGGTGTGTGACATCCTCATAGTCTTTCACAGTAGCTGCCTGGCATTTGCTAGCCAAGTCAGAGCTCATGAAAGCCAGATAGTTTTTGGAGCCTGCCTTAAGAAAATTAGTGATCATATTCTCCATGGTACTGCTCTTGACATTGTCCTCTGCCAACTCCCAGTTTGAGACCTCATCCAGGAAGTCCCTAGCTACCAAATATTCTGGCACTGTCTCTAAGAAGTCTCTGAAGAATTTCTTGCCAATGGGCTGCTGCTCGCAGATGCTGTCATAATCAGCAACAATGGACTGTCTAACCTCTCCGCATTTATCGATCTTGGGCAGCGAGAGGCTCTTACGTCTCTTTTGCATCTCCTTGGTGTCTCCTTCTCCACTCTTCCTTGCCTGCAGATAGGCTGTGTTGGCAATCAGGTTGTCAAGCCCCCCCATGTCACACATCTTGGCGAGCTCTTGGGGTGGCAGAGCCTGGTTGAAACAAAATGACTAACTGGCCCAAGCGCTATGCTGTAGCTGCACTGCACTTCTCCCTGCTAGTGGTGTGTAGAGGCTTCTGAAAAATACCAGAGACTAACTGCTTTTGCATTAAATACCTCTCAAGGATTTTCATTAAGTACCTTTAGGTATATGCACCATTTGTGGAAAGTGACTGGTAAGAGGTTTCTCTGTAAGGAGCTTTGAGTTTGCTATGTATAGCTGAGGGATGACATCCTAGGCAAACCTTCTCACTGGCAGCACCAAATGCATGCAGTTCAGCTGGTGTTTCTCAGAACAGGCCCTGATAACATTTAAAGGTACCAAGATTCCCTCCATATGCACTGGCCCTGGCTGCTGAGACCAGGCAGAGATTCCCGTCTGCAATACACGCACACCCCAAACGCAGTGGCAGTCTGGCCACAGTTAACAGCACAGCCTTGTATCTCCCCCGCTCGACACACAGAACACCAATGTACTAAGAATTATATAAGTTGGGATCTGGTTTTATAAAAAGCTTTTATCACAAATGTGCTGTGCCTGAAACAAGCTGACATAGACAGGCATGAGTCACTGAGCTTTAAATTATCACACAATTCAGTGCTTTGCGCATCCACACTTCCAAAATGCAAGTTATACTCAGTAACTCTGAGATCCACAGACACTTTGAGCAAACCTTGATGCCTCTTGTGGCTCTATCTGAGCGCATTACATGCAGAGGCTAAGACCTGCTGCTGGTCTAAAAATAATGATGCCTATACATGAAACAACATATAGTTCTGACTTCACCTCCTACCCACAGAAAAACAAAAAAAACCTTCACAACCGGCCAAATCTAGCCAAGACACTTCCATATGTTATTGTGGCCTTAGTTTATTTTCCCTGCTGAGCTTTACAACAGTAAGTGGCAGGATGAGAAGGTGGCAACAGTGTATAGCTGAGGTGGCATCAGCAAAGGGACAAAGCTGATTATCATCAAGCGAAGGCAAATTCCACCTGACTTCATTGGCTGCCTATCAGGAAGCCTGTGCCTCATTTTTTTCCCAAAAGAATAAGTCATGTATGGCACTTGGTAGGCTAAGCCCCCTTCTGCTGCGGGGTCATATGACTTGGCTGCTAAAACTTTATTTAAATATAAGGAAGGTATTACGGGAACAGGAAAAGTAGTTCCATAATTCTTCCAGTAGCAATGGGTCAGCTGTACTCTTGAGGTCAAGGTCAAGTTTCCTCTCCACTTTTTTCACTCTTATACAGCAAGCTGAAGAGATGACTCACAAACACTAAACTTTAGGAGTAACAACGGCACCTCTCAAGACTCCCTACAATAAGCACTAAGACCTTCTCGGCTGCTTTCTGGCACGCTACTACTATGTCGTATTTTGTTTTTACATGCTTAATCCTGTCTGTGTTGAATCCATTTGACATATAACTCACGCTTACACTCTACAAAATTATGTTAGAGGAGTGTTTTTCTAGCTATGATTGAGAGGGCCATCCATCGTAAACTGCTATGTGTGCAGGAGAACATGGTGTACTCTAAAGTATTTGAAAGTCTTGCTTGTACAGCAATTGCTAATTCTGCCAGGTGAATGCAAGCACGGGGCAGGAGAAGGTTACATAAAGGGCTAAATAATGCAGCCATCACAGTAAGCAAAACTGAAAAAAAGTCAAAGGAAGAAATGCAGAATTCTGCTGGTGGCTTTCCTGAAAATGGGGCCCACAGCAACATACTCCTATAACATCCTGGGTACAGAAAGGCAAGAAAGAGGCTAATAGAAGCTTTAATTTCAAGTCTTAAAATTCACCAGGATCTTTTTTATATTTAGCAAGAATGCCACCACAGCTCAAACAGTAGCAGTACAACTGGCTGGTAGCTGGGGACCTAAGGGTGAACTCAAGCTTACACCAGCTATTGATATATTCATAGAATCATTTTGGTTAGAAAAGACTTTAAGATCATCAAGTTCAACCATTATCCTAACATTACCAAGCCCACCACTAAACCATGTCCCTAAGCACTACCACATCTCTATGTCTTTTGAAAACCTCCAGGGATGGTGACTCCACCACCTCCCTGGGCAGCTTATTCCAATGCTTAACCACTCTTTCAGTAAAGAAATTTTTCCTAATATCCAATCTAAACCTCCCCTGGAGCAATTATGTCTAAGCAAATCAAGAAAATACCTAATTTTATTGTATCTGCATAAAAAAAGACATATTCCGAGCTCCAAAAATCATTCTGCTCTGTTAATCAGAATCTTTCCCAATTTCTACAGAACATAAACTTTCTCTAAAACAACGTAACTTCACAAAAAGCACAGTGAAACAATATGATCTTTGGACACATATTCATTACTGCAGTCACTTTAGAGAGAAGAACTCAAGCTAGATTTGCCGAATTACCCAAACCTGCCCAGCATTTATTAAACAGTGCAGAAAAGTATATCAGCATTAATCTATTGGTTGACAATGGCTATTTAAGTTAGTAATACCTACTCAAACAGTGTATTTGGGTGAGAAGCAAAACTCACTTATTCTGCATGTACAAGAGGTGAACAAATTCAGGACTAAAAATGGATCCTTATTATGAACTATGCTAATGGAATATCAGGGTATATCTGCAACAGAAGAAAATTTCTCTGGTGCAAAGCGCATAGAAAGATGGAGACTTAAGCTAATCGTCCCTAAATCACAGAGAAAATAAGCAGGACATAAAATTCATCACCTTATATTCTAAGTGAACCTCTAACTACTAGTCAACAAGATACTACAATATACAAACAGATACACACAAATATCAGCTGCTTTGATTTCAACACTAACTTTCCTAATACTTCATTTGTGTTAACACCTGTTTGAGTCAATGCTGTGGAAAACTCTTCTACAATTACAATTCTCAGCTACTCTTGTCATGCACATGAAGTGAACTGAAAGGAGGGTGAAAATTACTTTGGTACTTTCCATATTCACGTATAAACCAAAGCAAAATGAAGAAGAAAGTCCTCTGATGGGACTAGATGGAATTAACACAGGTTAGAGGATGGAGCCTGTGACCAAACTCTGGTGGAGAAAATAGGTGGTAGGTAAGACAGTTTAACTTTGACAGCTAAAAATTACTTCCATATCCAACCAGATTTTCTTTTGCAATCTTTTTTGGAAGAATCCTTTTACACAAACAGAAAAACTCCACAACAAGGTAAATGCTATAGGCAATTCATTATTACTACTAACCTATTTTATATTGGTTTTCAACTTTAAAACAGACATCATCTGCGATAACAAGAACCGATGTGATACAGTGTTAACAGTGACACGCAGGATTTTTTTGATTTCAGTGTGTAATGCGACAAAAGCTGTATTTAAAAAATTCAAAACATTTTAAAAACAAGATTACAAGTACTAAACAAAACCACAGTGAACTCTGCACGTATGCTTTATGACACAAAGATTGCCATTGGAACTACTTTATACAGTGAAGATAAACCTCTTTAAATATACTTAAACAGAACTAGATAGAAATATCTCTGCTGAGAAATGCACTAATCTCAAACAGTAAAATGTAATTTTTATGTAAACAATGATATGCATATAATATTGCTTCAACTTCACACAGGTTTATTAACCATTTTATTAAGCCTGAATTACTTAGACTTAAAGCAGTAATTCAACCTATTACATATATTAAAATAAAACAACCACAGCATAGTTCAGTTTACTAGTAATTACCTGGGATATTTAGGGAAAAGTCAGAGGTAAGCACTAAAATATTTGTAAGAAAAAAAAAAACCCAAGTCACACAAATCATATAAAAAAGATGATACACTAAGGATTGCCACAAAAATGAAACAACGCTTTCTCCCACTTTCAAAGCACTGTAACCAATAGAATGATGAATAAATTTCTACTAACTGAATTTTCATGAAACAACAATTTAACTTTTCCCTAGATTTAATTAGTACTTGCTTTCCATGGGATATTTAAATAATCAGTTTTGTTTGCTTTCTATATTAGTCAGCTAACCAGCGAGATTGTTTACGCCCCAGTTAACTGATACCAAATACATGTCTTTGTACCAAAAGTCTCTGGATTAAAAATACATGTCTCCATGATCTTTAACAGAAATATAAATAAAAACAATTATTAATGTGGTTAAATTTTAATACTACAATTGTAGAAGTCATGTACAGAATATAATACAGCAACAGACATAGAGATACAACAAACCAAAATTTTCTGAAGCCATAAAGAAAACCTAAATTAGAAATGTTTAGTAGAGTGTGAGGGAAAAAGCACATAGCAAATGATTTACACACTATCCATTTTAGATTAAAAACCAGAATACTTTCTAGAAAACTCACCGACTGTGTTTTTGTATACAATGTTACTTAGAAAACAGTTTCTTTATCCTGACAGTAAACGTTGCAGCTTATCAGACTTACAGGCAAAGTTGCCCTTTCAAGTTAATTCATTTACCTATTCAAAAACATTAAATAAACTATATTTAGGGTATAATCTGCACCACCACATTTCTATGCTCTGATACAGTTAACACTCAAATCGTAACAGGTACATTTGTTGATGTAATGTCTCCTTTCAATAGTGGAAGCATCTGCAGTGAGACCAACAATCGCCTCCTCGTACAGCAAAGAGCATACAACAAAACCACACCGATCTTGTAGCAGATAAACTAAGTAAATCATGCCATGATTGACATGTTCCATTCTCTTGTATCAGCATATGGCATAAGACATACACTATTTCAACAAGTCCAACAGAAAAAAAAACTTCAGTTTTTTATTTGCCTATTCTCTGGACTACCCAATCCTGCTGGCAGAGGGGACAGCGATTATTCTGTTTCACCCACAAGGACATGCAGCAATTGTGGAAGGAATGATTGCATTCTCCCCAAACCACTGAAAGAGAAGAAAGAACATGTTCTGGTCACACTCAGCTGTCCAATCAACACTTACAGCAAGGTCCAAACTATCATTCTCAGATGTTTGTAACCACCACAAGCTCTAGAGACAAAACGGGTCATCACTGATTCGTCCACCGAGACTGATCAGACCGACCCTAATAACCCATACTCCTCTCTCATCAATACTTCTACTTATTTCCAATTACAAAAAAAGAAATGTATATATTCTCACCTTCTTGTATAAGCTGACACAGTTTTGTGAATATATAAACACATTTACCAGCTCTGTCCAGGAAATAATTGCAACTATCCAAGTTCTTCACTTTATCTTCCCCAGTACCAAAATACAGCCAAGGCTCTACTGACTGACTACCTATCACACAAAAGCGTATCACTAAATTCTCTTCTGAAATGCAGTGCTTAAACTTAAATGTATGATATCAAGGAGGCATATTTGACACACTATATAGCCTCAAAATGGGATCTTAGACCAGAAGTTATTCATAGGCTACAGTTGTTTCAACACAACAAAAAGGGCTATCTATTGTCCATCTGCTCCCCAACAGTATTAGTTACTTTGCTTTATCCCCTTATTAGTTCGCATTTTCCTTATTGGAATACAAGGGTATCAATCAAAGGAGTGTTGTAAATTATGCTTTTTTTTTCCTCTCTGACTATCTTAAATAGGACACGTAGCCCGCCAATTAAGATATTTGGAACAGGAAATTCCTGTTCTCCTTAAAACAATCATCAAAACCAACAACGCATTACGTTTGAGACAATATACTTCAAAACAGAGAGAACAAGTGCACGGAAAGGTTTACTACTGATTTAAAAGTTGACTTAAAGGTTTAAAGCAAACTCTTTGAGACAGTTTTCACTATTTACGACTTAAATATATCAGAATTAAGTTAAGATTTGCTTTTGCACCCATTGGTATGCAACTGAAAGTATGTTTATGTTTAAACAACATTATCGCAAATTCAAGTGATTCCACTTTTTCAAATGAAAAGTGAACAAAGAAGCAACCGCCTCCACTATGTCTGAATTAAGACTGGGAAAAACACCACTTTCTAAACCTCACACACGTTTATTTCAGAACAGAGGATATTTATTGGTATTACCATTGTGTCTTCTGGCATGCATCTCAGAAGAAAAAAAAAGTAGCCTTTTCCTACCCACTTCAAAAGTGTACATTATCACCTCCCCAATTATGCTTAGGGTGAGAGAAACTTTAACCTCTCAGTCGTGTATGTGTTGACTGCAAATGTGAAGTTGTTTTGTTCTACAGCATGACTGAAGTGAAAAGTAACTTTATTAGTGCTCAAAAATAAAGCATAAAGTATTATTGATGCAAAAAGATGACACAACATAGAACAAAACACCAGTTTACTTTTGAGCATTAATAAAATCAGTATTCCCTTCAAACTTTAAAATGCACCCTACTGAGAGAAGCTTCAATTGAAAAACAAGCGAATGAAATCACTACATACCAACACAATCTTCTTGTTTGTTTTCAGCTTGACATCTAAGACAGGCATCTAAAAGTAAACAAGAACAAGACTCAATTTGATTCTCAGGATTCCATCTTAAGAATAGGTTTGTCAGAGGAAAATATAAATTCTAAAACCAAAGGTAAAAATCCCACGTATTGATGTCTAGTTCAGCCCTTTAACGTTAAATAAACCACTTTAAACTTTAGAAAAGTGCACATGACAATGAAATATAAATCTGAAAGACATCAGAAGGACTATATAAACTGTCCAACAAGTTTTGCTTGTTTTCCATTGTTTTGGTATTTTCATAACTTCTGCTGAAAAAAAGCCTTCTCCATTTTGTAGATATAACAACCAGCAGATTTCTGCCAAGGCACTCAGGCATGTTAAGACTAGAGCAAGCACAAAGCCAAACCCTAATTACAGGACTTTGTTTTTCAGATGTCAGCATCTCCTTTTAAGGAAATCATTCACAATTTTCATTTTTTAAGGCTGTACATCTCTCACCACAACCCTCATCTCCTACTACTTTTTATATACTAGTTTTCCTTAGTACCTGCATGTAGTTTTTGTAAGAGTCACATACACATGCAAACATATTGGTCAACTTGATAATATAAATGAATAGACAAATGTGCACTCCAGTCTGTGGCTACAGGACTGGATGGCAGGTTCAGTACTCAACAAGATATAAAAGCAACAACTTCCAGGCTTAGTACTGTGCCACACACATACAGTGGAAAAACGCCTTTGTTTCTCCTTTGCCCTGACACAGGCTGCCATAGACATATGTGCGCATCTCATACACAACAGAAAGCATTCAACTGTTACACGAGCAAACACTTCTTCATCTCCTGCACAGAAAAGTAATAGTTTAAACAAGTGTCCCGCAGGTTGGATCAGACCAACATGTCATTAGTTGGACCATATTTTACTAGATGACAGAAACATACTGTGATACAGGAATTTAGATTTGCATATTTTTTGCCTTCTGTGTCAGATACAGCTAGTACTTCTATTTTAGATTCATCTGCCCAGACATTCCTCATTTTCTCAGGTAATAACGAAAAAAAAAAGACAGAAACTCTGAAACAGTTGCCCTTTCCTCACTGAGATAAAAGCAAGATAGTAAATAAAGTTTCCTGTTGTCTGTTCCTATAATTTATATTTCCACAGCATTCAAGGGCCAAGCTACAGGAAAGATTCAGCCAAACTGCTTCAACTTGTACCGTGGTACAGCGATGCAGACTGATCTGGGGTCGCCTCAATATGCGGTGCAGTAAGCCATGGCAGACTAACAGTCACTATAAAAGCAGCTTTCCTACCCTAGCCCTAGATTTGCAGACAGAGAAGCAGCACAGAGAGCTGAGGACAGAAATCACTGCAACCATAGGAAGGTAGGCTGTCCCCACTCCTACATCATAACCCTAAGGGTGTCAGTCCAAATCGTTAAGCAAACCGAAGTCAGTACTGCTGCAGCCCTCTCCTTCCCAGCTAACACTTGCATTTTTGCTTCCTGCCCTTGTGCTTCAGTGATCCTTGAAGGCCACATTGGTTCAAGGAGTTAACCAGCAGAAAATTAAGCCAGCTAACATTTCCCTCCCTTGTAAAAATCAAACAAACTAACTTTCAACAAGTGCCAGCTTAAGTCTGGCACTACCTCCAACCTAAGGTTACTGCAGACGCAGTGGCTCTACAGGAGCCAGACTGGGTCTGGCAGGGTCAACACGAAATTGCCAAACTAAAGTCAGTAATGATTAAGTTTCACATTCTAACAATGTGGTTTGTTCTCAAAAACTGGTTACATTTTTCTGCTAGTTTCAGATGAAAAGTACACCCTCGGTCTAGTTATGAAAAATTATAAATGAACTTTAAAAAAAAAAAATTTAAAAGTTCTGAGTAAGAATTTGTTCATTTAAGACTTTTTTATTATATTGCCCCATAAGAGGCTTGCTAGAACAGGGAAATACAGTCTTAAAATTATGGCTTGCATGGCAGATGAAGCCAATTTCATATTTCCAGAGTGGTCTCTGTTCACCATATAAAAGCAGACAATCTTCAAAACATGCTTATGCAAAAGGTGAATCTCCCACCACTTCAGTGTGGGATCCATCTTTTTTCTTCTAGTACACTTTTTGCCTTTCCTGTGCCACAGAACATTCTCAGCAAACACACGTATGAGAAATGACAGCACTGCATATCTTGTTTCATTTCTGTTAAGCCAAAACCTGATTTGATTTACAGTATCATGGTTCCCAGACCTACAAAAGCAAGGTGCTCTGGAGGAAATCTTGAGTCATTTGTCCTGCCACATTGTACCAAGCCAAACTGAGAGAGCAGTTACGCCTCGTATGACTAAGCACAATAGTAAAAGTTGGATATAGATGTACAGTATCCAAAGAATTTAAAGAATTTTCAGAGCTCCAAGATAAATATATTTGTAAAAGATGTCATTAAACAGTAATGCCCGCCAATGACGAGGCTGCTTTCAAAGAGATTCTCCAGATTTCAAAACCAGGTAAACGAACACCTAACTAGATTGTTCAGGACATTCACGTGTGTTAAATTGCACTAGTAACTAGAAGGCTTTTGTGGAAGTGTTAGAGACTCTGGATTAATAGATTTGGAAAATTAATTTATACCTACATCCACAACTGCTTCTTCAAAAAGCAACAAACCACAAAGCGCAGCACCACACATCTAGCACTTGAGTCAGCTCGGCTGTTACTCGGCGCTTGCGGAGTTTGCCGACAGATGAGAAACAGACTGCACCAAGAAGGCGCCTCTGCAAAGGCCGGGGGTGGCAGGAGAGCAGTCCGCCTCCGGGCCCTGGCATAAGCCCAGCCCGCTCGACGAGTGCTGCTCCCACGCTGACGGGCACAGGGCAGAAGCCCAGCAGGCACCCCGACCTCCCCGGCGGGACGGCGGCGCAGGGAGGGCTGCCCAAGGCCGGCCTGGGGAGCGGGGCCCGGCGCAGACGCTCCCCGGACC